TCTCACAAAGATGAGCAGGGTTTTGAAGACCGCATAATGGACAATTTTAGACTTTCCCCTGTGCCATAGGAGAGCAGAGTTATCTAGTCAGCTTGCAACCTTTTAAGCGCGCCCTGATAGTTTCAATTGGTAGTGAAGAATACGCTAAATGGTAAGGCTAACAGTCTCGCTCTCTCTCCCCTTCAAAGAAACTCTAAGACTGTTGGTCCACCAGTGTCGAGATGAGACGAGTCCTAGCAACGTGCTACGCACTGCGCGCTGAACCAGCAGAAGGTCAGATTTGGGCATCGCGTGCGACACAGAGAGTCGGCACACCACATAACAAATGTCAAATATGGGGTGCTGCAGTAGCACACCCAGGCGCACGCTAGTAAGTTGTGCCTCATTCCAGCATCAAATGGAGGACCGTCTCGGACAAGGGAGTGGAGTAAATGAGAGAAATGAGGGTGTGCATTCGACTCCCGGAGTCCCATTTCCACGGCATTAAAGAATACTCTTCACTATAAAACTAGACGTGCTTGAAGTGGTCGCTAGGAAGACTGCAATCTGACAGAGTAACTCGGTTCTCTTAAAACGGAATGTCCGGCTGTAGGGGATCCTTCTAAATGAGGCCTCTATGGCACTCGGAGTCCGACGGAATCCGAGAGGCCCCTTGTTTATATTCAGTACAATCAGATATCATGCTGTGCTCACCGGAATGAGTTTATTTGTTCGCTGACGTTTCGGACAGCTGGGTGGGCTGTTCTTTTGTCAAAGTGTAAACTGACTTTCTCGATCAGCAAGTTGAAGTTGTGGCTGTACAGGTCGGCCATGGGCTGATCGATAGTCAGTTTACGCTTTCACAAAAGGACAGCCCGCCCAGCTGTCCGAAAGGTCAGCCAAAGAAATAAACTCATTCCGGTGAACCCAAAATGATGTCTGATCCTTATTCCGGCATTCTGACTTTTCGAGCTTTCAGTACACGGTCCAGGGACCGGGCAGTGCATTGCACGCAAAGGCGGGTTGCTTAGCTGTGTCAGCCGCTACGTCAAAAGCTGCCTACGGTCATTTTGACGCTGACTCACCATCGGATCGACGTGAGGGAGGAGAGACTGGAAAATGTGTCACAATTCTCCTACCACCGCAAAGTAATTCAGAGAAGGTCAGCGCCCTACGCCCACGTTCGCCGCTCGTGACGGACAAACTGCCCATGCTATTAGACGCGGTGATTGATGCTGGCTGCCACACGCATGTGCGCAACAAGATCTGAGGACTATTGCTGACACGATACAGCCTGACTAACACACTCAATGATTCAGTTTGGTGCCTACGTTGGTCTAATGCAAACACGGAAGCATCTACTAAGCACTTAGGCTGTCAAAAGAAATAAGCGGCAATAGGTAAGCAAAATAGGCCTGCGAGAAATACAAGAGTAAAACAATTCTATAGTCAGCAACAAAGCCTCTGGTTAACAGTGGGAGAAGCCGATTGACGTCGACCAAAAAGGCAGCACACGGCAACGATTCACCGAAAGCAGCCGCAGAGAACCACGTACAGGTCAAATATAATAATATAATATGTTTATTATGAAGGAGTGGATCCGACAAAGCAAAGGGAGACCGGAATGGCCATTT